TTCATCAATTAAACCCATTTAATTAACAACCATGGGTCTCTCGGAGACATGTGCTGATTAATTAAGAAAATTTTTCTCTGAGAACCATGCTAAGCTTTTTATGAAACTTGTAAAAAGTTTCATAAAAGTTTTCATTTTTATGTAACTTGTGGGTTAAAAAAATCAACATCCAAGTTTCCTAAATTTTATGAAACTTTTTACAAGTTTCATAAATGTGTGGTTTATGAAACTGAATTTATGAAGACAGGATATCCCAAAATGAAAACAAAGCTATTTTCTTCCCGATAAACTATTCATTTTCTTCAACCGAATGGCTTAACAAAACATTATCAACTGGTTCTGCATTTATACTTAATCATCGTTCAGCTACGACCGGACCAGCAGAGTTAAATTTTTGCTTCACTGCAGCTGTTGTAGCGTTTTTCTGTCGCTTCTCTGTTAGTGTCATCAAGTGTCTTTATTTGAACTATTTCATATTTTCGATCGTATTTTTCGATCTTATTTACACAAAGTTCATCTAGAAATAAGAATCAGAAAAAGAATTAGAAATGATCGTTGAGCTGTTTTTAGTGTCTCTGGGACTACATCTGCATATTGCAGCTGTATTGCTTTCAAAATAAAGTTTGATGCATCATGGAACATTTTATACGTTTAAACAAAACCGTATTCTAAATAAAAGTTTAAGCGTTTGATTGTTCATAAGAAAGGAAGAGCGAAAAACCTTCACCGTTTGGTTTTACGACATTCTTATTTTCAGTTCAGCGGTGACCGGTCAATTCGTCGCAGGTTATTTCATCGCGGAAATTTAGTCACATCACTTTTGTCGCACGATTTGTTTTAACATAATTTTTTTGTCGCACGTAACAATTTTGTCGGACAAACAATAGAGTGGAATCGATGCTTTAATCCGCTCTACTAATAAACTATATGCCTAATTCAATAATCAGTCTTGATTAGAAGAATAATGGCAGCTTAATAATATAACCTTGATTGATAAAACTTGAAAAGATCGACGCCTAAATGTCTGTCATAAAATGACCGCGACGAACTGCTGGAATAAGCCCGACTTGTGAGTACTGTCTCACACGTCATCGAATAGTAGTGAGTTTGATGGCTCACACAGTTCGGTGTGAAAATTTGATTCTAAGAGAATTTCTCATTTTCTACAGTAGAGTTTTATCCAATACAATAGTGTTCTTTTAGCATAGAATAATTAAACAAGAATATAAAACTTATTCTCACTTTCTTGCTTTCTATATCTATCTCTATATGCGCACATAAAGAAGAAAGATCAAAATTGATATCAAACAAAACAGAACAAAGCGCCATTCTTTGAAGTTTGGTCAGCGCTGAACAACATAATCGAACATACTCATTCCAAATGGCCTGCACGATTTAGTTCCCTATAATACAAAATCGAGAAAAAAATTTCTTTTTCGAAAAGTTAAGGATTTAGTTCCCTATATCAATTAATTTGTTAAAAAAAGAAAAATAGCTTGATTGCTAATCTAATTAAGAAAGGAGAAAGTATAACATAATAAAAGAGTCAGAATAAAATCAAAATGAACAGAACACTATCCCTCTAAATATTTGAAATATCTAGTTCCTGCAGCATTTAAAAATGAAACCATATCTAGTTTTTGTTCACAAAATCTTTGCCATAGTTTTTGGAGAGAATTTTCAGCTATTTGTTGATTACGACGTCGTTTTGGCTGTGGTGCACCCATATGGTCTCGAACACTATTGAATGCACCAAGTGACTGTTCTTGATGCAATAAATCAATTGTACAATAAATATTTGGATGAGTTGATGTAGAAGGTTTTTTCCATT